GACTGTTCGCAGTGCTGTCTTCCAGCCTGCCCAGGGCCCACCCATATGCCAGCCGCTGGGGCTCTCCCTGTCTGCTTCCAGTTTGTTGGGGTTTTGTAGGCCCTTTTCCTGCCTCCTTCTCACTTTCTCCCTAGCTTCTGCAGCCACAACACATCATTGTCATTCGGGTGTTTTGACAACTCGAGGGCCTTGGGATGGTACTGAACCTTTGTGTTCAGCCAGAGCCACTGTGCCCTGGTAGGTTTGGGAGTAGAATCTCTCAGGTGCTCTTAGAGCCACTTCTGCCTGTCATGATCTTATGAGACTCCCTTCCAACCCCATCCAAAAGCTGGGATCAGGAGTGTACTCCCATACTATGGGTGTGTGTGTGTGTGTGTGTGTGTGTGTGTGTGTGGTGTATACCTGGCTTTGGGACCATATACCCTCAGGCATCCCAGCTCCACGAGGAGCCTTAGGAGGGTAACCAGATTTCTACTCGTTCCCTTCACTCCCCACATGACATAAAAAATGGTGTTCCTCTTTGTCCCTGGCATTGGGGAGGGCAGACTGCACATTTCACTAGGGTCCAAACAGAAGGGGTCACGGCCTGGGGCCTGCAGCTCTCTGAGAGGTCTATCTGCCTGGTTACCGATGAATAAAAGTTCTGTTGACAGCTCTGACAGTACCTGTGTGCATCCCTGCAAAGGTAAACAGTTGGTAAAGGTGACAGATACTGTAGCAGGGTCTTTCAGACCTGCTGGAGTCAGAAGTGTGGTCTCTGGGGGACTGGCTTTGAACTGGGGGTTGGGAAGAGAGGCTATAGGGTGGCAGGGTTGTGCCAAAGGGAAAACCCATTCTGGCTTATTGCTCACCCTTTCTGATTTGTGCTGTCACACACATGGCTTTGGAAAAGCCTCCCCTGTGTCTCATTGCCAGAATTAAGTCCTCTTGGAGCCGATGTGAACTTCTTACCCCTTGAGTCAGCCTTCCTAGCTTTACTTCTGGTGTCATTCTTCTCAGGAGTGGACTTGGGGGCCTGCTGCCTGGAGTCTGTCTTTGACTCCTAAAGGAGTTGGTGCTTGTCTTTGTGTCTCTTGGCATAGAGCCTGGCACTGTGATTGGCTGGAGTGTGGCTGCGGAGAGCAGGGAGTTGGAGCCCGCAAGGCCTGTCTCTAGTGCACATGGCACCAGTCCCCATTGATCATAACTGCCTTCACATGACCAGCAGGAGAGGGGAGGCACTCCCCCATAATTGTATGTTACATCTAGGAACTTAATGCCTGCTGTTCTGGAAAGGGGAGGATATGGGAGGGCCCGGAAGAAACCAAAGAGAGGCCCCTAGATTCTTGGTTGAGAGGCAGAGCAGACTGGGACTGGCAAGCCCTCGTTTGGTAATCTTTAGGTTGGGGCATGGAGCCTGGGTTGGAGTCTGAAGGTCACAGGGGGTGAGCCCCCGAGGGGCTTTGTGGCCCGCCTGAGACTTAGCAGTTTGGCCCACCCAGGGTGTGCCTAGCACAGTGGAGAAGTTTCCCCACCTCCACCTCAGAGTTGGGAGGCCTGAGGCAGGGCTGGGCTCTTTCTCTTCCCTTCCCCCTGCCCTGGAGAAGCAGCTGAGGCAAAGGAGGCTTGGCTCCTTCCAGTCTCTGTTTAATGTGAGGATAAACATTTTATGAAGGAAGATAAACTTTCTGAGCTGGGAGCAAAGGACCCCCTTTTCATCCACCCCTATCTGGAATGCTTTTGGCAGACTGTAATAGGGTTCCTCCCCCTGATCACCCCAGAAGATAAATGCTTCAACTATGTAAATTACAGCTGCATTCTGGAGCTCGTGCGCCCCCTTGTGTTCATCTCAGAAACTACTTAGGCCAACCAGGGACCCTTCATTTACCAGGCACAGGTGATAGAGCACTAGCTTTCCTGTCATCTAGGGACCAGGCAAGCAGCCAGACAAGCCATAATGAAAATCCCAGGTTCTTTTTTGTTGGATCAGGACAGTGGTATGTGTGGTTTGGATCTTTTTTAGAAAAAGGCACCCCTTTCTCTGGTACCCTTACAGCAGGAAGCCCCCACCCCCAAATCAGACACTGTTGTTCATAACCTATACAACTAGGTGGCAGGTCTGTGGAGCAGTGTTGCATTCCCATGGGTGGGCCTGCTTCCTGTATCTCCTGCCCCATGGCTCCATCCCACCCAAGAACCCCCCTTCTGCCTGTTTCTCCCTGCTGTGATCCTCAGAAGCAACCCCACCACTAAAGAAAAGCTGAAGCCAGGAGGAGGAGGTTTTTCTTTTCTTATTTTGTTTTTAGGTTTATTGAGTGACCTCTGAGAAAAGGGAAAAGGGCTAACTCTGGGAGCAGGAGGGATGGAGGAGGACCCAGAGGCAGAGGGGCCAGGAAGAGAGCACCCCATTTTGGAGTTCTGGGCCAGAGCACCCTGGAGACCTACATTTGCCAGCACAGCACACTCTTTTGGTCCTGGGCAGAAATCCAGTTACTGCTTCATGCTGCCTGCCCTGATCTCTGGACAGCCTCTGTCTCCATTCTTTGCTGGCAGCAGGGCGTGGGAATCCACTCCACTTCCCTAGTCATCCACAATATTCCAGGGGGGCCCGCCCTCCTGGATGTGTGGCTGTCAGTGTCACACCCTCTAGGAGTGAGCTGGAATTCACTTTCCAGTGAGCACTAAGCGAAAACTGGGGAACTGTGCCAGTCGGAATAGACTAGGAATCCGGAGAAGGTGCTGTCTGTCTTGATGCTGGCATAGATGCCGATGTAATCACCCACACCCACCTGCACCCACACCTGGTCCTCGGGCTCCAGTCTCACCATGGCGCCTCCTGATAGCGAGGCTGGCTTGGGCCACCCCCCAAAAAACTGAAAGAAAGAGGCGATGGACTCGCCATTTTTGACCAGATCGAACTGCAGGCTGGCTCGGTAGACGGTGGCATGGACGGCAAAGTAGTAGACTCCTGGCACCTGGCAGGTGAACTTGCCGGTGGTGGCGTCGTAATGTCCCTGCTCGTTCAACAGCACTCGGTCAAACGGTAGGGGCGCATCAGCCGGCGGAGGCACTCTGCTCTCCGAGCGCTTGGCGCTGAAGGCGGAGCGCGGGGGCACCGAGCACTCCCCAGCAGGTCCGGTCGCCCCCACAGGTCCCGCCTCTCCTCGCGGCCCGGGCTCCCCACGCGGCCCTGGCAGTCCTGCAGGGGAAGGGGAGAGGTTAGGGTGAATGTACAGGCCGGGTCAGCCCACACTGGGGTACAGAAGGGTGACTGCAAACAAGGACCTCTGCTCCCGTCCTCTCTAAGCTTCCCCTGCTGTCACTTTTTCGGCTAGTGCCTCCCTCCGCCGGTTTCTCCTTTCCGTTTTCTTTGGGGCTTGGGGCAGATCTGAAGGGGTGGGCAAAGAGGGTCCCGGGAGTTCTGGCTGCCACCGGCTGAATCACCCTCTCCACCCTCCACCCCACCCGGCCAGCACGGACTGGAAGGGCGGGGAGCAGTGCCCCCTGGCGGGAGCCCAGCATCCTGCAGAACCGGAGGCCACCGGAGAGCCGCAGCAGTGACCCGACCCCTTAGGATGTCCCCATGGACGGCAACGGAGGTGCCTTCTTACCCGGCCTCCCGCCCTCGCCTTTCTCGCCCGGAGCCCCGGGCGCGCCATCTCGGCCATCGCGGCCATCGCGGCCAGGAAGGCCCTGGCTGCCATGGTGGCCCGGCGTGCCTGGAAGGCCCGGGTGTCCCGGACACAGGCTGGGGATCTTGTTGTCATCCAGCGGGGGCGAGCCGGACGCCAAGCCCAAGAGCAGCAGGGCGAGGAGCGACTTCATGGTGCTGGCACCGGGAGCCCGAATGCTGGAGTCCTCTCGTAGTCTGTGGGCCGGGCAGGACTGGAGTCGGGACCCCGAATCCCAGGACTCACTTTGTTCCCCACCCCAGCGCAGCCCAGCCGGTCCCCACCCCGCTGCCATGCCCCTGAGGTTGAGCGGCCAAGCGAACGGATGAAGAAGGAAATTTCCAAATCCCGAGGGAAAGGAGAGGCAGGCCCTCCCGTCTTCTCTCCCCAGCGGGCGCCCAAGCTTTCCCACAGTCCCCTCCCCATCCCATCCCCCTCTTCTGCCAGACTCACGCCCTCCCGGCTCCCTCCCGCTGCTCGCTCTCTTGGTGGCCTCCTTTGGGGGGGCCTGCTACTCCGAACCCTTCATCTGGCCCCGTTCGCATCCCTGAGTTTCTCCCCGGCCAGGCGCCCCCTGTCCTCGCTGCCATCCCCCAGATCCTGGTTCTCTCCCCTCCAGCTCCGCTCTGCTGCTCCCAGACTCCGAGAGGAAACCAGTTGTTCAGGGCCAAAAGCTCCGGGGCCGGGGAAATGACTCGTGGTGTCGCCGGCCGCAGGCCAAAGTTTGGGGGAGAAGGGAGGGGGAGAGACTTAGGCCAAACAGTGTAGACAGGCGATCAGGATCAGGGCTCCTCCTGCTCCCGGGAGAGGGAGGGAGAGATGGTGCATGACAGAGACCAAGGACAAGACTTAGAGAGCCTGGACCTGCAGAGACCCAGAGGGAAGTGTTTCAGAGGCAGAGTGCCAGCTGGAGCCCAGGCGGAGCAGGGCCTGCCACATCAGAAGGCACTCAGTATAGTTTTGTTGACTAAGTGACCCGAAGGGCAGGTGAGAGAGAATTTCAAAAAGGCAGATGGGAAGGGGAAGGCAGAAGACAGGAAATCCGGGTCAGAGACTTGGATGGCAAGCAGTCTAAATTGTCCAGTGGCACAGCATGCAGCCAGGGCAGCTGCCTGAAATCAAATACAGGGCCAGGAGGGATCAGGGAAGATGCTGTGTGGGTGTGTGGGTGTGTGGGTGTGATGGTCGTGGTGGTGGTGGGGTCCCACTAGCTCTGGATTGAGTCCTGGGAGGCCCCACAGAGGATGGGCGGGGTCCTATGCCAAAGCCCCCTCTTCCTCTGTTTTCTGCCTGCGCAGCCATGTAGGCAAAGGAGAATGGGTGGAGGGTCGGGGAGTGGGGTCTTCAGGGTCAGGGCTGGGCACAAGCTTCCAGGCCAGCTGCCTCAGGCAGCCTGTTGCAGTTGAAGGGCCAGGGGGTGCCCAGTAGTGCCAAGTCAGACTGGCACTGGCGCTCAGCCTCCCGGCAGACAGAGCGGCAGAGTGGAAGGATGCTGCCTAGTGGGGTACAGCGGGGCACAAGCAGCCCACAAAGGAGTCTCCGGAAATTCTGGTAGCAAGGAAGACTTGTCAGACTCTGTGGGAAGAAGAGATTCAGTCTCAGGTATCTGTTCCCAGGTCCCTCTCCTTCTGTGGGCTCCCTCCTTGCCCGTATCAGCACCTTGTAACCTCTAAGGACATCAATGACCTCCTCCTGGGTGGACATGGCCACCCAGATGTTAGGGAAGGCAGTAGTGTTGTAGCTCAGCCCAAGGCACATCTCCACCTGGACAGGTTCACAGGCCAGCTCTGCAGGAGACAAGTCATGTCATCACTCTGGGTCCTGTCTATGTAGGTCAGATGGGCTTGTCGTGAGGTGTGAGAGTGCTTTACACACCCAGGAGCCCTGCTCCCCCTCAGAGCCTGCTCCAAGAACTTGCCAGCTCTGGGCATCAGGTAGGTACCGCTTTGCTCCCAGGGAATGTGGGGCAGCTGCATGGCAGGGGCCACTTGGGCATCTGGGAGAAACCCCCTGCTCTGTGCAAAAATCTCACCTTCATTTTGAGGTAGGCTGTGGAGAGGGACTGTGTGTGTGACAAGGTGGCTAATTGAAGCCCCATGTCCCTTTGGGGTGGCATTAAGTACCAAGCCCCCACCAGTGGAGTGTCCCCCAGGACAGACTTTGTGAAGTGGCCTGAGTCAGACCCAGCCCATCTATACCCTCCAGTCAGAACGTGTGTTGGGAAGTGCACCCTGCTTAGGGTGCCAGGGGCAGGCTCCTCACCTGGATGTGGGAACAAAGGGGTGTTGCAATTGTCATCACCGTCACGTGAGCAGTCTCTCCATAAGTCACACACCCACTGCAGATCTCTACAGCCTCCATCCTCACAGAATTCTCTGTGTCCACAGGGGTCTGTAGACACAGGGGTGTGGCAGTATCCCAGGACACATCTATACCCACTGTGCTCCAGGAGCCCTGACCAGGTGCAGAGCTAGTCTCAGTTCTCTGGCGTCCCCTCAAGTGCCCACAGCCGCTCGTCCAGGGCACCTACTCTGTGTAGTATTGAAGGCCTGGTAGGTGGCTGAGAAGCCCCGGCTGCTGATGCCATGGTCTGTCCTAAAGAGCACAGCCAGTTGGTGGTGCAAGGAGACCAGGTGGGGCGGTGGCTCTGCTCCACAGAACCTGCTCATAGAGTAGAGAGCAGTCCTGGACATGGGCTCTGAGCAGGACTTTGGGCCAGGCTGGGGCTGAAGGGAGGCAGTGGCTGACCCGCAGAACTTAGGGTCTGGTGAGGAGGACACATATTCAGTAGACGGAATATTAAAGGGCTCAAGCTTGAGCCACTTGAATGGGAAGAGTCAGGGAGGGTTCATGGGAGGGGCCCCTCAGGGTGGGAAGGATGGGGGTGGGGAGAGGTTTGTCAAAGGGCCTCCTGGGAAGGGGATTCTACAGGAGTGAAGGCTTTGAGGTGAGAAAGCACAGGCCATTTTGGGTTGAACTTGAAGAGACCTCGGGCTTGGAGTAACACAAGACAGTGACGCTGGGAAGTCAGTTGGGGCCGTGTACAGGGAGCCTGGTGTGTCAGATTGGAGGACAGGCTGGCCAGGAATCCTCCCCCACTCTGTACCTGCCCAGGAGGCTGGGGGCTCCTGAGCTGTGGGCCTCATACACCTCCACATAGTCAAATTTGCACTCGTCCTGCCCTTCCAGGCTGAAGTTGTGGAACTGCAGTTCTATGCCGTGTCCCATGGGCACTGAGATATGCCAGGTGCAAAGCTGGAGAAGGGCACAGATGGAGAAATTCACAGGGGCCTTCTCTCACCCCCATCTGGGCACTGAGGCTGAGCTCCAGAAGAGGCTCCTTTCCCCTGGGGCAGGCTGGGAAGGGAGTGGCAGCTGCTTGCCAGCCTCACTTTCATCACCAGCAGCTTTTGTGTGTGTGTGTGTGTGGTTACTGGGGTTTGAACTCAAGGTGGGCCTTCACCTTAAGCCACTCTACCAGCCCTTTTGTTGTGATGGGTTTTTTTTCAAGGTAGGGTCTCACGAACTATTTGCCTGAGCTGACTTTGAACCATGATCCTCCTGATCTCTGCCTCCTAAATAGCTAGAATTGTAGGCTTGAGCCACTGGCGCCTGGGTACCAGCAGCTCTTAAGATAGGAAGGGCTTTTTAACTTGCTTGGTTTCAGAGATGGATGAGTTTACCCAGCATGGATATATGTGGGTATGCCATAGGTGCTTAATAATGTTCCCGTCCAGGCTGCTTGATCTGTCACATTTCCAACTACAAGACTGTGTACCGTGCTGTTCCCAGTCACACTAACCCTGGTGGCTCTGATGTCTCCGTGTGTGCTAGATCACTTCCCACCAGGCACTGCACTTACCTGTTGGTGAGGGTACTGCTGTGGATAGTTGGGAGTAGAGAAAGTGCCCTGGAGCCCAGTCAGATTCCCCCCACACCCTGTGGAGAGGCAGAAGGGCTGATGAGGGGCAAGAATCTGCTCTTCCCCCAACAGGGAGAAGTGACTGCAGAGGAAAGATTTTGGGCACGCCCATGGGCAAACAAGTCCCAACTAGAAGAATGACCAGGAGGGGAATGCAACTGGGAACACTGAGGTTTGGGCTGGCTCACAGCTAGGGAGCCCCGCCTGAACCAGGGTCAGCACCTAAGACAGCGCACGCTGGGTCCCATACCTGAGAGCTTGGCACTGCAGTTGCTCTCATCACTGCCGTCAGCACAGTTGGCAAAGCCATCGCACACTGAGTCAGGTAGCAGGCAGAGGAGCTGGTCACAGCGGAACTCATTGTGGGCACAGCCCCCTGGGGACGGCCACCTGGAGTCAGAAACCCCCAGAGTCTCTTCTCCTTTTGGCTGTGCTGGGAGTGGCTGGAGGGGAGGGAAGTACACAGGCAGCTGGGAAGTCACTCACCTTGCCCAGGGGTCACAGCCTGGTACCAGGCCTGGAAACCAGAGCCTTCCACACTGCTGTCAGAGACGAAGGCCACACGGAGGTGGCTGGTGTTGGTGTTGAGTGTGGGGGGAGGCACCCTTCCACATACCCTGAAAGAAGCCAGGTTGGGGGCGATGGATGCTCTGAACTCAGGGATGGCCAGCGTAGAGCTTGCCTGGGCCCTGCGGCCCTGTTTCCTCAACCCCTGGACTGGTGGTGATGTGGTCAAGAAAACTCTTTTAATTTCCCAGGGAGCTCGGATCTTCTTGGCCCCTGCACATTCATCCCTACACATTAAGGCTCCATTATACAGATTAGGAAACTGGGTCAGAGAGGGTAGTGACCTTTCCTAAGGCCTCACAGCAGGGTGGTGGCAGAGTTGGGTTCCAATGGTCAAGCCTTTCAATTCCTTCCTCATCTAGACTTTCTGTTGTAGCTTCCTGCTTCTATCCTTCAGACAGGGTGGGACCCCTGGGGGAAGATGACCCACCTGAGGAGGGGGCCTTCAGGTTCTGGGGAGATTTCCAAGCGATCAAAAAGACAGGAGGCCACCCCCTCCATGCTGAGGGCTTCGATCTTGAGCTGTATTGTGTGGTCTGTGGCCACCTGGATATGCCACACGCAGTGGATGTTGGGTGGGTAAGGGTCTGGGTAGTTGGGAGTGCTGAAGAAGCCGCTTAGGCCAGAAAGGAGGCCTCCGCAGGCTGCAGGATGGAGGTTAGAGTTCAGAGATTAAAAGGAGAGAAGTCCTTTTGTCCTCCAAGGTGCCTCTTTCTGGCTTCTCCTCCCCACTGCCATTTTGGGCCTTTTCCAGAACTGCCCTCAGTACTTACTGGCCTGGTGTGTAGGGCTCAAGCCTGATTCCTGCTGCCCTGTAGTTGCCAGGGATGTAGTGGTGGTGATGGTAGTAGGGGTAGTGGTGGTGGTGGAGTGGCCTTGAGTGGGCAGTGGGCTCTCAGTGGCCCTGGATAGGGCTGCAACCTGAAACTCTGGAGCAGAGATGGCATTGCTGAATCCCTGGGGGCCAACAGAGTGGCTCGCAAATTCTTTCTCCAAGTAGGCCCGGGTACTTACGGGCCAGAATGATAGCCACCAGCAGCCCGAGCAGTAGGAGCAGCAGACTGGCAAGCAGGAGGATACAAAGCCAGGAGAAGTGGCAGTCTGGCTGCAGCCCTCGGGGATGCCGGCCTGTGGGCAGGCAGGATTTTGGGAGCTACTTCTCTTCTGCATCCCTCATGTTGTCCCCAACTCCTGGGCTCTGTCCTACCCCCAGGCCACCCCTGAGACAGTTACCATGCCAGGGAGCTTGGACTCTGCGGCTGGCATCCTGCTGGAAGGCTGGTGGAGGGCAAGATGGCCCTGCTTCAGGTTCGAAAGCAGGATTGCAGAACTCGGTCTGGAAGGCAGAGGCTTGAGGGCTGAGGGCAGGTGTGCCCACTGGGGACATAGGGTCTTGGGAGAGTGGTTCCATGTGGCCCTTACCTTGCTCAGTTCTGTTGCTTCCTCACAGAGGATGACATCTGAGTCCTTCATGGCCCAAGGCTTTGCATGGCCTTCTGGAGTTCCTGTGACAGCCCCTCTCCCTGGGATCCTTGAGGGTCCACTCCCTGGCTCCAAGTTCCCTATCAAAGGGGCAGCCTCTACTCCCAGAGGCAGAGGGCTGCCAGGCTAGACCAGTTCTCTGGCTGCCCTTGGCAGACTGGTTTGGGCTACTCTGTTTCCATGTGGGGGAGGGGACAGAAGTGAGAAGAATTCAGAAAGGCATGAAATGGTCCCTTAATCCAACTCAGCTGAGGATGCTGAGGTCAAGCCCCTACACAGGGTGGCAACTCTTAAAGGCACAGGCGGTGGCTGTGGACACCAGCAGAGGAAGTCAAGTAAGTGCTCAGTGGGGACGCGAGACCACCCCTCCTCACCCAAGGTATTGACTTAGTGCCTGGGGTGCAGGGATGGAGGAGAGTGTGGCCACTTTGCAGGCACAGGCCTTCTGAGAGAGAAGCTGGGGAAAGGGGCTGGCAGCTTCAAGGCCTATGCATCCTAAGGACAGCTGTCCACCAGTCCTCCCCATCTCGGTGATGAGGGCATTAACCACGCCCAGGTCTTTGGAAGACCCGTTTTATCACCCGTGTGGCTAGGACACGTGGAGAGAAGCCACAACAGGGAGGGCAAGCTGAAAGGGTTTCTGCTTATCCCTGCGCCCTCAGCCTGCAGCAGAGAGGGAGACAGTGCCTGAGGTGGTAGCAGTGTGGGCGTGAAAGGGTGGGTATGGAGTCTGGCTGTTGGGGCTGCCTGTTGTCACAGGGTAGGAAACCTCCACAGCAAAGATCACTTCATGCCCTTTTCTCCCTGAGTGAGGTTCTCTGGGAAAATCCCATCCTGGCCCAGCTGTCCTCAGGGATTGCTAATCTGTTCTGTGTTAGTTGTGCTCAGGCTGAGAGTTGGGTAGGGCGAGAGTGTGGAGGCAGTGCAGAGGCAGTGCAGTATCCCTGGCTATCATTTGTAAACATCTATGATGTTTGAGGCCCTAAGCAAGAGGTCTTTCATACAGTTTCTGTCCTTTCATAACTCTATAACTATTTTACAAAAGGTGGTACTAAGTCTCTGAGAGGTTAGGTAACTTCCCCAAGGTCACACAGCTGAGAAAAGACAGAGGCGATAGTAAATCCTAAATGCATATTTTCTATGGCATACCACTTTCACCACACAAGGAGACCGAGGCATGTTGAGCAGGGTGCTAGAGAGGAGCAAAGGAAGGAATCCCTTTTTGTCCCCAGGAGGGACAGAAGAACCAGAGGAGGTGGATTTCTGATCTAAGGCAGCTCTCCTTGTACAGGAGCGATTCCACCCGCCTCCAGCCCCCTCTCCTCCTCTTAAGGGCTGGGACTGCTTTTCCTGGACCTTGATTGTAAAGTCCAGCAGTGTTTGGTCTTTATGGAACACTCAGTTTGGTAGCATCAGGGACAAGTGCCCTTGAAAGAGGGTAAGGTAGTCCCTGGTACAAGGCACTCTCATTCTGGTTGGACCTGACAGATCAGGATCCCTTGCCCCAGAAAAAGCCTGGGTCAGAGCCAGCAGAGTGGCCCCTGAGCTTTGAGGAGGACAGGTGAAAGGCCACGCCCCTGGGGTCTGTTCGCTGTCATTCATGGAGAGGCTGCCAGTGCCAGGTCTGGCTGGGCCAAAGTCACCTTCATCTCAGCATCATCTGAATTTGTCCTTTTTTTTTTTTTTTGGTGGTGCTGGGGTTTAAAGTCAGCTTCTTGTTTGCTATGCAGACACTCTACCACTGAGCCACTGAGCCACTGAGCCACTGAGCCTCTGAGCCACTGAGCCAGCCCTTATCTGGGCATCCTTGAGACAGGGTCTCACTACTGTGTTGCTCAGGCTAGCCTTGGAACGCTTGATTGTTCTTAGCTTCCTAAGTATGCCACCATACCCAGCTCCTGGGACCCCCTTCCTCCCGACAGGGGAATTGAACCCAGGGCCTTGTACCTGCTAGACAAGCGCTCTGCCACTTGAGCTGTGTCCCCAACCCCCTAGGACTTCTTGAGAGAGGGTCAGAGGTCAGAATTATTCTCATATTGGCATGAAGAGATTATTTGTCTCACACTCATTCATGAGGGTCCGTCCAGTGCAGTTTGCTAGATGCTCTGTGGGGTGTGACATGATGACACATTGCATGCAAAAGGTCGAGAGTCAGCTGTCTTCTGTTAAGCTAGGTGTAAGAGGACTGACAAAATATAAAATGATGCTGTCCTTACTATTTTTGTTTTGTAAAATAGTTTAAAAATCATTGTTAGTATATGAAGAGTTTATTATTTTTAAATTTAGTGTTAATTGAAAATAAAAATGTTTACATTTCTTTAACTTGATAAAATGATAGATATAATTCACATTAACAAAAGTTCTTTGAGGTTTTGGATTTGTTTTTGTTTTTTTTTGAGATGGGGTCTTGGTGTGTTGTAAAGGCTGGCCTTGAACTCTTGGGTTTGAGCCATCCTCCCAAGTAGCTGGGATTGTAGGTGCCCACCATGACTCTGTGTGTGTGTGTGTGTGTGTGTGTGTGTGTGATTGTATGTGTGTGTATGTGCTCGAGCGCCTGTGGTGCTGGGGATTGAACCCACTGTCTTGCACATGCTAGGCCAGCACTCTACCATTGAGCCCCATCCCCAGTCCTTTGATAATTACGTGAACATGTCCTGCTACCTTGCTGGCATTGGCTCAAGTGATAAAGCACCTGCCTAGGAAGAATAAGGCCCTGGATTCAAACCCCAGTTCTGAAAAAGAAAAGAAATGTGGTATAAGTTGAAGAAGCAATGGTCACTTCTGATGGGACATGCAGGGGAACTTCCTGGAAGAGGTGGCTTTAAGACTGAAGTTTGAAGGTTGGAAAGAATTTTAATAGGCTGAACTTGGGGGGTTGGGTATGGAATACCAGGAATTTAAGGCTTAGCACCGAGGCCTAAGGAGCCTGGATTGTGTTAAGCTGGGCATGGCTTGGTCAGAACTGGTCCTTATAATAGTTCCTGTTTTAGGGGAGACATCAGAGGGAGCCAAAGGGGAGGCCGGGAGGCCAGGAAACTTCTCTCCAGCTGTGCTGTTGCTCATAGTGACCCTTGCTGCATAAGTCAGAGGCTTTACTGGAGTCCCAGTGTGAGAATGGGCCTGTAAGGCCTGGGGGCAGGAGGGCCTACATCTGTGACAGTTGAGCCACAGGTTTCTTTCTTCTGCCTTTATTGCTTTTTTGGGCTTCCTTTTCTTCCTTCTCATGGGGTCTCCTCCCACCAGCCCTTCTTTCCCTGGCTGCTGGGGCTTGTCTGCCCCATCACTTTATGGAGACAATTAAAGCCAAGGGAAGTCCCATGCTTAGTTCCTGCTTGAGACTCCTCACAAGCTTGATGGGCTTGTACTTTTCTCCTGAGAGCTATCCTGACAGCATGAATCCCTGTAGCTCTCATTCTCACCCAACCCACCATTTGTTCTCAACTCTAAGTGTCCCTCTTGCCACCATGGAGGGCCAGGCCAGCTTGAGGCCATGACAGACACTGTTCTATCTGGGACTCCAGCTCTCTAGTGCTTCCTCTGGCCGATCTCCAGCCCACCGCTTCCACTTTAGTCAGACTGGCCTCTTCACTGTCTTTGGAACGTGCTGTGTTCTGCCTCTCTCTCCAGGGAATGCCTTTCCTTCTCCTTGTTCCCAAGTCCAGCATTAAGCTCCTCACCTTCCCACCATATCTCAAATGTACTCCCTTTTCCTCTCCTTGCTCACTGCTGCTCTAGACTTCGCCTCCACTCCCTGGTTCCTGGATCTTCTCCAGTCTCCAGGAGCCTGGAAGACAGCAGTGCAACCACAGCCAGATCACCACCATTGCCAAACACAGATCACCCCAAAGATCAGCTCAGGAAAGCTCACGCCTTGGCTGTGGAAGGCCCAGTCAGTGGTTTCTACCTTACTAGTTCTGTCTCATTTGGGCAATGCTATCTTATTCGGTACTCCTAAGCCTTTATCTAGTAGATGGTTTTGCATAGGGGTGGCAGAAGCATTCAGAGAAGCTAGAGGACCTAAACATTCCTAAGAATCATCCACTAGGAGAAGAGCCATGGGGCTGGGGTATAGCTCAGTGGTAGACTGCATGCTTAGCATGCAGGAGGCCCTAGCTTCTATCCCCAGCACAAAATGACAACAAAAAAACAACTCAATGGCAGGGAGGAACAGACATTTGTTCTATATTGTTTTTTTTTTTTTCCATGTGGTATTGGGGTTTGAACCCAGGGCCTACACCTTGGGCCACTCCTCCAGCCCTCTTTTGTGATGGGTTTTTTTGAGTTAGGGTCTCACGAACTATTTGCTCAGGCTAGCTCTGAACTGTGATCCTCCTGATCTCTGCCTCCTGAGTAGCTAGGATTATAGGCATGAGCTACCGGTGCCCGGCTTGTTCCATACTGTCTTTAACTGGATTTAACTACATTGGTATTGTTATGCTCAGGTTAAGATGAGGAAATTGAGGCTCAGAGAAGTAATCTTCTTGGGCTATAATTGCTGGTCCCTATCTGCTCTTGCATTCTGCACAGGTGCTTGTTTGGGCCCCCTGTCCATCAGAGGTGTCCAGTTCAGATAGACCTAGGGCTCAGGGACATTGTGCTGTGTTTGTTGCTGAGTATGTGAATGTTACATTGCTGTTTGGCTCAGTTCCTAAATAGGTGTGGAATGAAAAAAATCTGCAGGAAGTCCCATAATATGCTGTTGATAATTCAAATGGCCGAATATTCAGGTGGAAAGAGAACTGAGTGGGCTCCATTCTGCCTCTTCACTGCCACTGCCAGGTGATGTAGCCTTGAGCAGGCCTCTAGTGCTTGGCACCCTCACTGCACCACCTACGATCCCAGCTCTAAAGCTTCATAGACAGAAACAGGAATTTTTCTGAGCACTGGTCACTTAAAAGTTCTGTTAACTGGAACTAGGGAACCATAGTTATGTAAGTTCTAACTTGAACACGTATTTGGAGGAAAAGGGACATAGAACGAGAACACCAGAGCCAAGACCTTCAAAACTCACTAGTCCAGTTGGCTCACGCCTGTAATCCTAGCTACTCAGAGATCAGGAGGATTGTGGATCCAAGCAAGTCAGGGCAAATACTTTGCAGACCCTATCTTGAAAAACCCTTCAAAAAAAAAAAAAAAAAAAAAGGGATGGTGGAGTGGCTCAAGGTGAAGGCCCTGAGTTCAAGCGCCAGTACAGCAAAACACACACACACAAAACCCCTCACTAACCCAGTCTTAACTCACAGATAAAGCACTAAGGCCCAGAAAGGGGAAGGCTGTGGCTCAAGGCTACATAAGAAAAACTGCAGGGGGAGCACCTGTCCCTGGCTGAGGCTTGCAGGAATGCCAGCAAAGAAGGTGGGAAGAAATCCAAGTTGCTAGGAGGCAGACCTTGATGACAAAGAAACGTGGGGACAGATCTGTTTGTGGTCTGAGGAACACTAGGGCCTGCTGCCTTGGGATGAGAAAGCACTGAAGGGAGAGCTGGGAGCAAGGGTAGAGGGCCTGAGAGTCTCTACCTCATTCCCATCTATTCCTCATGAAAGACAATAAAAACGTACAGGGTGGTTTCTACCTTTGGGAAGACCTACTCAAAGAAGAGGCATTAAAAACTTAACATTTATTTGGGCTTA